CACAGCACGACCAGGGCTGGCTGGATCTATTGAATTGCTTTATGACTGCAAAGTCACCGGCATTTTGCACCTTTCCTGGTGGATGCACACTAGACACCTCACAGTTAAGCATTTAGCAAGATTCTCCTGCCAAAGGCACATAGTTATCTTATTTTATTGCTTATTAAGGGTTTTTTTTTTTTTTTTTGCAAGGAAACAGGTGTAAGAACCTAAACAGCAATTACTAGACATAAAGGATATTTTCTAGAAAGAAACAGGCCCTTCCAAAGCTGGGAATCAGTAACTTAATTGGTGTGGAAGGAATTAAATATTAGGATTAAATGTCATCTACCTGAATCCAGAGAAAGCTAAGGAATCTACAAAGGATTTGTTTTGCCCTTCCTGCAAGATCATGTACATTTAGCCAAACAAATCTCAACCATTTACACTTGTGTGTGGTCTCTGCTGAATCAAGAAACCTGTAACCTCAGAATGCCTCTATTTATTACATCTCAATTATTTCCATGGAAACAGGCACAATGGTGAACTACACTGTTCCCAAGTCCCCAGACCACAAAATTTATAAGATGGACTTTTGAGGGCTCAGGCTTGTAAGAGAAGACAAAGAAAGGGAGAGAAGTACAGAAGTGACCAGTGGTCATTTTGGATGGGGGTGGGCCACGATGCATGGACTCACCTAAGAGCTAACTAATATTAAGAACTGTAATTAGCAGATAGTTGCTAAATTGGAAAAAAATCAAAAATAGTAAATTTATTAAAAAGTTTTCAACTGAGGCTGGGGGGAAATGTATTCATTTTCTACAGGAATGAAGAGACTGTTGCATGGAGCCTAAGGAGGACAGGCAGTTCTCCTTAATGTTGAGTGACAGGGAGACCTGCTGGTAATTGTCACCAAACTACCTGGTTTCATCAGCCAAAATAACATCAGTGAGTGAGATGACAACAGCCTAGGGAATAAGGCCAAAATCATCAAAGGCAACAAATTGTTACAACCACCACACCACCAGGACAGGCATAAAAAAAAAAAAAAAAAAAAAAAAGGAAAATCGGTCAGAAAATGTGACTTTTGTAACATTTATGGATTTGTTAGGTGGTTTGGAGGTTTTGTATTTTTTTTAATAAATTCACAAGGCTTTTGAAAACCAGGCTGCTCACTGTCTGCCCTCCTGCCTCGGCATCCCCCCTTCCCATTTACTGGGCATCCTCCCTATAGAGCTGAGCTTTCCAAAGAAGGACAAACATCCTGAGGGGACAAGTGACCCCACTCTAGAGGGAGGTTGTGTCCAGAGTGGGAAGTGACCCCTGAGGCCTGTTTGATTTTCAAAGCGGCAATACCCAAGCTTTCAAATCACACTTTCTGAGCATTCATTCAAAATTGTTACATTTCTGTCTTTCCTTCCTGCTATGGGCTTTCATATTTCCGAGATCAATTACAAATTACGGTCAAGCGACTTTCACAGCAGAATACCGACAAGCTGGGGGAAGTCCACAATGCCTCTACATCAGCTCTGACACACAGCAGTGGAGTTAAAGTAGAATAAATACAATGTAAAAGGCAACCGCTGTTCCTTAAGAAGCACCTTCAAGCATCTTTAAAGGGGAGGACCTTGTGTTTCAAACCCTTGGTGTGCAACAGTCCACACTTGAGCACTGCCTTTGGAATATCTTTTGAGAAGGTGCTGTTCTTGACAAGCAACAAATCTTTCGCCTATTGTAATTCTTATCTATTCAAATTATTTTCTCTCTTAATTCCTCTCTAAATAAGTGTTCAAGTCTCCACCTTATTCACCTCAGTAAAGAGGTAAAGGTAATAAAAGGTGAAGTACTGAGAGAAAAGGGCTGGAGCAGCTTTTGGAAAAGAGCCTTGGAGAGAGAGAGTCCAGAGGGAGCTAAGGGTCCTCTGACTCCAAGGTTGTGGCTGATGTTCCAGAACTTCTCAAAATACCTCCGCTGGTCTGCCTGCCACTTTGCTGTCTCTGCTCATCACTACTTGAATTGCCTGCTACTTATAACCACATACATTTAGGGACAGACACTCAATAAAAATCATTTCAAGGCTCATTTCATGAAAGGCTGAAACTCAATTCTAGTCTTTCGCTGTGATCCACAGAGTGTGTTTAGAATTGGTTCAGACGGTTCTGGAACACCCACCCATCTGTTTGCTGTGATCTGCCCTACCTTTGCTTTCTGTGGTTTGTCTTCTAAAATAAGAGGTTTGGAGACACAAACCAGATTATAGGTGGGCAAGTCTTGCATCTTCACACACACACACATACACACACACACACACACACACACACACACACACACACACACACACGCACATACAAATATCCTTTTATACATAGGTTTAACTCAAAATCAACAGCCTCAGTTAAAGAAAACCAGCAATTTCATTTCTACTTTTCTTCTGGGTTCTCTTTGAGTGCCTCTCCAAGAACTGAGTAGTTAACCGAGAAAAGAGGGAAAAAAATCAAATATTATTTCAAACTGCAAAGCTCTTCTTTCTAGTCTCCTCTTCCCTGTCGTCTTCTGGGAGTCTTCTCTTATGGCCTCCTTGTCCCACAATCAGAACTCTCTGGAACCTCTAATTCTGTAGAGCAAGTCAGGCTGTTCCGAGATGGAGAAGCTGGACTTCCGGGTGTTCAAGCAACTTCTCTCAATGAAAAGAAAGGAACTGGTGCTGGTAGTTAAGACCACGGGGGAGGGTCTCGGTGGGGCCAGGTGTCCCTGACTCTCCTGGGGCTTTAGAAGGAAGAAGCCAAGGGTCTCAAAACCCACGTGGTGCAGATTCAACACCAGTTATTCCAACCAGGAGCAAGACTGGCAGGAAGGGAGCTGGCCCTAACGCCTTCCCGCGCAGGCCTCCAGGAAATGAACTTTTCAGAGCAGTGCTGGGCCGTGGCCAGAGGTCATCAGGGGAACTGGACCAGGACAAGGGCCTCAGGACTTCGGGCTCCACAGTTGCTCACATCCTGCTCCTCTATCATCTACCTCCCAGCGCGCTCAGGCAGAGGCTGGAATGGGTACAAAGCAGCAGGCCATGCCTGCAGAAGCTAGCCAGTTGGGGGGGGGGGGGCAGGGGGACGACAGGGAGTTCAGCCTGGGTCCGGGGCGGGGAGGGATCTCCCGACTGGAGGCCTTCCCCGCAGCTTCTCCTCTGCTCTCCAGGGGTCCCTTCAAACCTGGGGCTCTCCGTGGAAATAGAAAGCAAGGGGGATGTGTGTACTTGGCTATCTATAGCTCCTAACAAACGTGCGCACCCTGGGGACTCGGTACGGAAGGCAGCCAGGGTGCCAGCAGCGCGGCTGCCCGGGGTGGTACCGGACGCACTGCTCCGAGGGGCGCTCACAGCAGCCTCTGCGCTCCCCTGGGGACCAGCATCCCGCCGGCGCGGCACAGACAATGAACTCCTGGCGAGTCTCCCTGCCCAGCTGGCCTCGGTAAAGCCGGCAGGAAGTGCGGAGGCCCGGGCCGGGAGCTCGGCCTGGGTCCGGGGCGGGGAGGGGTCTCCCGACTTGCTCTCTCTCCGTCCCCGAGTGACCAAAAGGACACGGAAGAACGCGGGCGAGGCCCGGGGCCAACGAAGGATTGCCGGCCTCCAGGGCATCCGTCCTCGCCGCCTCTTCCTTCCCCATGCTGCCGCCGAGATTCGCAATCCCCGCCAAGTCGGCCCGCACCCCTTGATTGGCCACGCGGGCCCGGGGCCGGCGCGCTAGGAGCCGCGAGGGCCCCTATGCAGAGCCCCCCGGCTCGGGTCCCCGCAAGTGCCGGCGCCGGGCAGGGAGCTGATCGGCGGGCAGGGTGTGCGTCCTGCCCCCGCCGCCGGCGCCTCCCGCCCGCGGCCTCCGCCTCCGCCTCCGCCTCCGCCTCCCTCCGCCTCCTCCTCTCGGCGCTCGCTCGCTCGCGCGGTCCCCGGCCGCCCGCCCGCCCGCCGGTCCCTCCTCCCTCGCTCTCTCCCTCCCTCCTCGCTTGCTCGCGCCTCCGCCGGGCCTCGCTCGCTCACCTTTCACCGAGCGCGGCTTCGCCTGCTTCCGCCTGGACATGTCCGGGGCTCCGGGCGCTCCGTCGCCGTCCGCGGCCGGCTCCCCGCGCCGCCCCCTGCCGCTCCGGGCAGCCCTTCTCCCCCTTCTCCGCCTGCCTCTCGGAAACTTTGTTTTTTGCAGCCGGGTCTGAGTCCGTGAGGAGCGGACCGCAGGTCCCAGGCAGCCTCCCTGGGGGGGGCAGCCCTGGCCGGCCCAGGCCGCTCGGGGGCGGGGGGAGGCCCGGGGGGCGCTCCGGGGCCCTGCCTGTTGCAATGCGGCAGCCGGGGGCTCCGGGTCCCAGCGGCGGTCCCAGCGGCGCGGGGAGTCCGGAGGCCACTCGGCCGAGCCGAGTTATGCAAAAAAAAAAAAAAAAAAAAAAAAAAAAGCCGCCCCCCTCCTCCTCCCCACCCCCCGCCGGCCCCCGGCCCCTGCGGCCCCCTCCCTCTCTCCCCCACACCACCGCCACCCTCACCCTCCTCCTCCTTCTCCTCCGCCCCTTGCCGGATTTTTGTGCAAAGTTTGCAGGCGTCCGGCCACACAGCCCGGTGCGGAGCTCACAATGAACCCATCTGAGGAGGGGGAACGGGCTGGAGCCGGGAGGGTCTCAGGGGGCGAGGAGACCGGAGGCGGTCCGGAGCTCAGGAGCTTAGTACCCCCCGGAAAAAAAAATAAAAAATAAAAGCCTTCAAATTATCCCCTGCCTCACACACACAAATAATAAATATTAATGGCTCAAAAATGCCCAAATGCCTGGTTTGGAGATTATGATGGATGGGGGGGGTCCCTCAACTCAGCCCACTTGGAAGGGGGGCTCGAAACAGCCTCAGTGGCTTGTAAGCCGCGGCTGGGGGTCCCTGGCTCACGCCCCCTTCTCTGGCTCTCGGCTGGGTCTGATGCCGGCTCCCGGGAGGAGTAAGGGGCGCTCGGGGGCGCTCAGGCGGAGGCGGGCAGGGGCGCCCGTGCCACGGGCATTGCTCAGCCGGTGCGCCGGGCCGCCGCTGCCTGCCCTCGGGCTGCGGTGCTCAGAGCGCGACGCGCAGCCGATCCCCAGGCCGGTGCCAAGTCGCGGGCCCCGCTAGCTGCCTCCATGGACCAGGGGCTGGGAGAGGGGGGAGGCGGCGGCCGCGGTGGCGGAGGAGGAGGAGGAGGAAGAGCAGGCGGCGGCGGCGGCCAGGCTCCCGTCCTCCCGGGCAGCGGCGGCGGCGGCTGCGCCCCGGCTCCTCCGCGCTCCAGCCGGCGCCGGCCCGCCCGCCAGCCTCCCTCGCGCTCCTGTCTTCTTTGTGGTCGCTGGCTCTCCTCCTCCCGATCCGGCTGCTGGGGCTGCACTGCAGAGACACATAATAAAGCCAGGCTTGGCTGGAAATGTAGCCGGGTCCCAGCAGGAGGATGTGAGGAGCGGAGTCCCGGCGGGGGAGCGCTCTGATCCCGTGGGGCGCCCCGCACTGCTCCGGCTCGGATCAGACGGAGAGAGGGCCAACAGCACCGAGCGATGGACAGCGCTGGAAATACAGCTCTGGCCGCCCGCAAAACCCGGACCGCGGCTGTGGCGGCAGGCACGGCGCGGGCGCGGGCGCGGGCACCGCACCGGCAAACAGGGCCCGGGCTCAGGCTCTGACAGCACTGGGCGTGAGGAGAGAACAGATAACAGGCCCATGCAGGCTGACAGGCCCGCCCGGTTGCCTTTAGCATCAAAAACTGAAAAAATGGGGTAGCAAACCAAGGTGAAGTGCCTCAGCATTACACCTCCCTGAGACTTATGATCCACGCACAAGAATTACCCTAGGACCTGGCTTTTCTCACTAGTTCGGCATTCCAAAACCACCTCTGCTCCACATGAGAGAATTTTCCACCACTGAGCTAACCTATACCTACATCTGTATAACTCTCGCGCCCGGTGCGAACTAACCAGACAAGGTGTACACCGCACACCTTGTATATTTATTTCACCCCTTCCCTTCGCCTAGAGGGAAAGAAACCGGCTCCTACATTTCACGAAGTTTTGCCCCAGCCACGAGGGGGCGCCTCGCGTTCCTGCAGTTCTTGCAGACCGGTCTAGGAACTCCCATCCGGCCCTGGAAGCAGTCATCCCGTGGTGGTTCCCCTAAACTACCTTTTGGGGCTTTATCCCACCAGCTGCAGAGACCTGGTCGCGGCTAGGGAGGGGTCCCGACATGGCCCCCTCCTAGCAAGTGGCGCCACCTTAGGCCGGCGCGCCCCGCAGCAGGAAGAGCAGAGCGGGTGAGCGGCGCGGCGCTGGGGGTTATCAATCTCGTCGATCGATAAGTTGCCACTTGGAGAGGGGAGGGCTGTGTCCCCTCGGAGACGAGTTACCCAGGGCAACCTTTCACGGGGAAAAAAAAAAACCCGCTGCCCGCGGAGAGCAGAGCCCGGCCCAACCTAGCAGCGGCGCCCGCCCCAAGCAGGGTGCCTGCGCCCCGCGGTTCCGGGGACCGAGCGCCAGCCGGGCCCGCGCCCCCCTCTGCTTGCTTCGCGGTCCTGCGGGGCCTTTTTCGCCAAGCTCGTGCTGGGCTGATTGCCGAGGTAGATGCCACCCCCGCAACCCTGCGGCTTGGGAGCGCGGGCCGGCGGCTGCAGAGAAAGGCCTGAGGCAACCGAGCCGGTGTGCGCGCACCTAGGGCCATCTACGAGCATGAGTCTGGTGGCCGCGCTGTGTGTCGCCAAGGCAAACGCTCCGGCTGAGGGAGACAGAGGCAAGGTTCCCTGGAGGGGATAGAGTCAGGCCAGAGACATCCCTCTGTCTAGGATGTGGGTCCTGGGGCCACCCCTACTTCGGGGTTAGGGCTGCCATCCCTAGCCATCTCCCTCCCCTCCTCGGGAGCTCTAGCCTCGGAGCGCACACCATCCCCGGCTTCCCGCAGGGACTGAAAGCCACCGCCCACAGCCCAGGGATGTCCAGCGTTAGACAGAAAAGGGGTGCCAAGGGCCAGGGCAGAGGCCGAGAGGCGCCTGGGAAGGCGCCAAGAAGGAGGGGCCGAGTCCACCGCTCCCCCCACCCCCGCCGGCGCCTGGGAGCGAGGCCCATGGAGAGAGGCTGACAGGCGGCAGATGGCACACGCTGGGGGAGGGGGCGATTGGCCTCGGCTCGGGGTGCCCCCGCCGCGGGCTGCCTTTCCTAGGTGGAGGGGGAAGGGACTAGCCCCCAACTTGTGGGCTCACGCTCTCTAGGGTGCTGAGACTGCGGACTGCTCCTAGCCGAGAGCCTGGAGGGAGAGGGCCAGACAAAAGAGGGAGCGTGATGGTGAAGTAGTATGTTAGACTGATGAAGGGGTTCTTCACTGGCCTGGAGGGGTGATTAGGAGGCCTGTGTCGCTGCCCTTTTTCCACCCTCAGGGAACTGTGAGAAGCTCCGAGGTCGGAGGTGGCAGTAACAGAATGGAGGAGGGGGCGGCGATGAACTCTTTGGAACTAATCTTCAAGGAGAAGGGTCGTGAAGCAGATCACAAAGTTCTCTGGACCCTTCCCGCGTTCTGCAGTCACACAAGCTTTCCTCTTGGCGCTCATCCCTGCCCCCAACAGGCGTGCGGCTGCAGTCTCCCAGCTCAACCGCAGTCAGGGTGCGGAGGGAACTCGACCTCGTCCCACAGCAGCGGCTGGATTCTTCTGAAGCTTCTTTCATTTTTAACTCCTTCCACAAAAATGTTGCTTTAAGGAAAATTGCAGAGCTACAAAAAGCCAATAGTGTCCCCCTTTAACTGTCTTCGCCCTTGCTGAGCTCCCATCCGTGGGTTCTCAGGGATTGCCTGGGCCTTGCTTCTCACCAGCCTAGTGACTTTGGTCCAGAAAGAGATCATTTTCGGATGATGTTTTACCTCCTGTCTGCTTCTTTGGGGAATGCAAAGGTCTGGGCCCTTCCAGTTGAAGCAGGGCCTCTTCGTCCTTCACCTTATCTGCTCAGAGGAGTGGCAGGAAAACCCCACTGCAAAGGAAAAAGAAGGGCTAGTAAATGGCTCTTCCTTTCCAAGCCCATGCTTGGTTGAAGACAGGAAAGGCTCCTGCCCTAGGCACTGCCATTGCTGCTCAGTGCTCCTTGAGGATGTAACTCTGGACACCGCAGGGGAAGCTGCAGCTAATTTCCAAACATAGGCAGGCATCTTGCAGAGCCATCTGCAGAGGGTCTGGGGGACAACAGAAACCAAATAGGACAAGAGAACAAAACACCAAAGGAGGGGTTTTGTTTTTTGTTTTGTTTTGTTTTGTTTTTTTTGTGTGTGTGTGTGTGTGTGAGAGAGAGAGAGAGAGAGAGAGACTTCTAAACTCATGAAGAGTCCCTAGAGTGTTTCAAGAGATGTTTCTGTGCATACAAAGTGGCCCACGCCTGCCATCCCAGCCCTTGGAATCTAGAAACAAGATAAAGGGAGTTGGGGGCCATCCTAAGCTACACAGTGAATGATTAGCTTGATCACCTCCCCATCCACATACTTCCAAATACAAACACACAGCTAATTTAAACAACAAGTCACTTGAATATACACAATCTGAAATTCGTGACTTCTTTACTCTCTTACTAGGGAAACCTGGCCATTTGGAGGAATGATGCTTACAAGTTCATTCCCTTGTGCACTTGTTGACTGTGAATGGACCTGTTGGATATGTGCCTACTATGTGCCAAAACAATGAACAAGAGGACTACCCGTAGCTCCTCTCTGTTGGGATGGCTCTCTAGAGGACCAAGAAGACAGGCTAACTTTTAATAAGCCACCAATAATAATTATATTTTGAACAGTCATTAGAAAAATATACAGCATAAGTGATGCCAAAAACAAGGGTCCAGTGTTGGTCTGGCCAAGAGTCTGAGGGATCAAGGAAGAGCAGTGTACAAGATGTATGAAGGTGCCTCCAGTGAGAAGGGGTGCTGGGCACTCTTAAAGAGAAGTTGCACAGCTCAAAGGACCAAAGGAGGCAATGGTAACCAGGCTTGAGAACGAACTCAACCAATGTCCACAGCTTTCCTCATTGTCTTATTGGAGGGCCTCAAACAACAAGAAACCTTTGCCTCCATTTTCTCACCTACAAAATGGGAATACAGGTGGTATGTACCCCACTGACTGCTGCCTGTCTAGCCCAGAGTGAGGCCATGAGGCTGTTTCCAGGCCTTTGCTACCTCCCTCTCCTATCTCTCACTTTTACCATAGGGAGAAATGCTAGTCACATAAACACAAATGCCTTCCTTTTCCTGTAGGCTCTTCCTTCCCTGATGTTTCTCCCATGACAGCTTTGCCTCTATCTTCTAGAAGTTTCCCACCTGCCCTAGATACATCAGGAGGGTTTTGCATTTTTTTTTTTTTTTTTTTTTTTTTTTTTTTGAGTGTATTAGGTGGTGAGGACTCAACTCAGGACCTTGAGCGTATGGCCATGCTCTGCCACAAGGCTACACACAGCCCAGCTTCTGCTCCAAGTACTTTTGTGTTTTAGTGGCCATTCATCATCTGTGGAATCCAGTTCCCCTGGACCATCTTGAGCTCCAGAGACACATAGGGAACCATGAGCAGACCCTTTTCCTGTGTCTCTTAACCTGGCAAGCCACCTTTAGCCAGCAGCTCCCTTTCCCAGGTCCTCTGTCTCTCCCACAGTGTACAGCACAGAGTCTCCCCTCCCAGGGACTTGGTACTGAGGCTTTGGAGGACCCTAAAGAGGGAAGCACAAGATGGAAGGATGTTCCTTTCTCAGCTTCTAGTTCTCACCCTGACATTTGGGGGAGGGAAACCCCTGCAGATGCTTCTGAAGTTCCCCAGAGATCTCTATTGTCCCCCTGACCACAATTCAAAGAGGCCAGCAGCAGGCCCAGACATCTGCCTCCCTGGGGCCATAGGAGCCTGGTGCCAAAAACAATAAGTCTGGTGTGAGAACCTCCTTGTCTTCTCCAGTTTCTGCTCAGCTGGGAAAGCCATTTCTATTTTATCATCATTATTATAATTATTTAGTTCTTCAAGCATCAGCAATCCTTGTAGCGAACACCCACACAGCAGCAAGGAAACCAACTTGGCAGGAGGATCCCAATGGACTCACGCCCTCAGAAAGCTTGCAACTGCTGGCCCAGCCTGGAACCTCCACCAGACCCCCACTAGCCACCCGGTGTGCAGTACTCAAGCCTTTGAGCCAAGCTCACTTCCTGCTTTGCTCTCTCAAAATATCTCTTGTATAGTGTCTGTGACTGGCTTTATGTATTTCAATATTTCTGATTTTTAAATAATGAGTTGCAAATGGTGGCACACATATAGTTAACCCAAGCATTCAGGAGGCAGAGGTCAGCCTGGTCTATATATGGTGTTCCAGGCTAGCCAGGGCAATATAAATGAGACCCTATCTCAAAAAGAAAAAGAAAAAGAAAGAAAGAAATGCAGTATAATGAATGTATCCAATTTTTAAAGCTTTAGCTAGGAATGGTTGGATAAAATACCCCCAGCATGCAACCTCCAAGTCTCATGTCACAATTGGACAAATTCTAGGACTGATCACAAGTCCATTGACCATCAGTACCTTAAGCAACCATCAACCAAGCTAGTTAGCAAATTTGACAGCAAAAAGTAATCGATTTAGGAGAGTCTCAAAGATATAGACTCAAATTTAAAGGCAGTCGAGGTACTGTTGGCAAATATACTTTCCCCCACATGTGATCAGGTGAGGCTGGGACAACTTGTACACAACTCCTAAGCATACACACAAACACACACTCAGAGCTCAGCCCCTCGGGGGCCTGAGTCCAACCCTGAGTAGTAATTCTGACTGCACAATGCCCATGGTAGGGCCTGTCCCAAAGGGAGTGGTTAGATGATGTGAAAAGACAGTTTGCACTTCACTAAGCTGACAAAATCGCCTAAAGATTAGTTTTGTCCTTATAGTTGTCCTGCTTTCTTACTGACAGGTCATAAATGATCTGTGCGTATGCTAGGTCTGTTCTCAGGCTGCCTTCACTGTCACCTACTACAGAGACAACAGAACAGTAGCAACCCCTCACCCATCTCATGCCCAGGTTCTTTTGTGACCACTACTGTCTGAAGCTACTAAGAAAGACCATGCTAGCTTAGATCACTTAAGGGAAAGATGGTTGGTTGGTTACTTGGTTGGTTGGTTGGTTGGTTGGTTGGTTGGTTGGTTGGTTGGTTGGTTTTACTTCTGTATTTCCCCTGTGTACACACCCCTTTCCTTCTTCAGTATCCAGGGTATAGAGAAATACTATGGAGATTTCAGACCATCAGCACATGTGACACCCTCACCAGCTGAGCATATAAGATGCCCCAGACATGAAGAAGGGGAATGGGTTCATTGGGGTTCCCCATTACATCCCAGTGCCTTGCATGGGCTCGGAATATAGTGATGTCATTAATACAAGAACCCTCAAACTCAGGGGCAGACGGAGGGGTTAACCATATATGTATGTCACTTTTCATCCTACCATTGTCATGAGCAAGCTTTCTGATAGGAAATGAAACTAATGGCTAGAAAACTTTTCCTGCCCAATTAGACCAAAAGCTCTTTGAGCAGAGCTCTAGGTTTTGGTACATACTCCCATCAGATAATGTTACCCACTTTCTTTTTCTTTTCTTTCTCTCTTTTTTGTTTGTTTGTTTTGTTTTGGGTTTCCAGGCAGGGTTTCTCTGTGTAGCTTTGGAGCCTGTACTGG